TTTTGAATTTTTATTTCTCTAATTATTTTCCCAATCATCATCTTTTTTTTATTAATTGTAAAATGTTTTTGCAACCGTATAATATTTTTCATATTTCTAATGTAATAATTATATTAGATCGAATATTATATTAAATAAAATTATATATTTTATGACAATACGTTTGCTCATATGTTTGTTTTCCGTATTTTTTCAATACAAATTCATATTCTAAATATCTAAAAATAATTTATAGAAGTATGTCAAAATTCAAATTATTATAAATTAATTATTTAATTTTTTAAGATTAATTTATTTTACATTGGAAATATAAAATATGTATGCTAACATATTTTATCTTACATATAATTATAATAGTATAACGTTTTGTGTTGTTTCCATATTCTTCCATAATGTTGATTTCCTTTTCATCTTTTAGCTCGTTACAGATTTCTTGTAGTCTCTCCAACAAAAGTCTTACCTTTTATAATATTTAATGTGTTTCTTATTAGGAAACTTGGAAATCATTTTTGTGTATGGAAACTTACTTATGAAGGATATTTATTTGAATGTGCACATTTTATACTCAACTTACATTATCGGAGTTAATCCAAAATGAATTATATTTTATTATATATATAATGAAAAAAATAGAGAAAGAAAGAACTTTTATTATAAGGGGAGAAGTGCATTCTGCAGTCAGAAATATTGTAAACTGTAAAAAAATGCATTAAGCTGAAAATGCATTAAATAACTGTTTTTTTATTTGTTTAGTGAAATATGATAAAAATTTTTAAAATTTAAAATAACCTGCTGTATAATAAAACTTTTATAATTATAATTATAAGCAGCTATATCATTTTTATTAATATTTGAAGCGATTATAAACAAAAACCAATTATTACTACGATTAGTAACTTTCATAGTAGCTTATTACATGAGACAATTAAAAAAGCGAAATATTATTTACAATACCTGAAATATAATAAAACTTATTAAAATACCAAGAATTAAAACAATTTGAAGTCGAACAAAATTTGATTTATAATAAGGCCATAAACCAAGAGCGAGTAATAGAATTTTATTGAGACTAAAGTATCTGGCTGTAATACAGATCATTATTCTACGAGTATGTAAACGTATTTGACAACAAAAAGTCAGCGAAAATGTGCGTTTTCCCTCATTGATAGAAAATTTTATAATTTATCATTTTTGCAAATTGTATCATATATTATCTAATTTAATATAAACGTAATGTAAAATAAGAAAAAAATGCCACTTTGAGTTTGTAATATACACAATTTAATAATTATGAAATAGGGCTGGCGATTAAGCTATTAGTGTATTGTGGGAAATTGGACAGATGTTTATTTTTTATAGAAAAATATTGCATGTATTTCCTGACTAAAGCTTGCGCAAGCGTATAGATCAGTTTTTCGTAACGCATTAATGTGTTTCATTCGTTTTTTGTGGTACTTATAAATTGCATTCAGAAAAAAAATGACTCAGTTTATTGATGAAATTTTAACTATTAAAAAAACATATTTTTTGTTTTAGATTAGGTAATGACATGTAATTTAAATTTAACTTTATTTTCTTTATTATTTTATTACATTATTACTTTATTCATTTTATGTCAGTTCTGTGTAAAATGAAATATGATACTAAGTATATTGAGATTTTTTCTCTGTTTAAAATACAAGTTGCATTTAATACATATTTTTGAAATGTATATTTCTTATTATAACGGCATATATATATATATATATGTATATATATATATATATATATATATGTATATATATATATATATATATATATATATATATATATATATACTACATATATAATAATAATAAGTATA